ATGAGACGAATCTAATGGTATAAGATACATCGAAATCCAATCACTAGAACAATTTCCGAAATTAAAAAATATTAAATGGTTTTTAAGTAATAACTCTGTCAATATTGATCACAGAGAGATGAGCTTACCACCATTCGATTCGTCTCGATGAGGCGATTCCAACGAGCTATAAAACGTCTTTTTACAATCACTAGGTACCGAGAAATCTAGCAAAATGTTAAATGGCGCAGTAAACGTAAATCAAGAAATATTATAATGCTAATGTTTAACATTTTGTTGAATAACTCGTCAGCCAGTGGTCGGAAAAGGATAAAACTACCACCATTCGATTCGTCTCAGTGAGACGATTCTAACAAGCTATGATATATCTTTGTATGATTATTAGATGCCAAGTTATTTAATATATTCTTTATATAATTGTGATTATAAACAGTTCTTTTTAATATAAGATTTTTGAGGATAGGTGTGATAGTGACTATAGATAGATTGTGACTATATAGGATAGATTTTAATAATAAAGTGTTTTGAACATTCAACTGGTGTAACTATATAGTAGAATGTGACTATAACGGAAGTGACTATAGAGGGAGTTGACTGTATATCAAGTAAATTATTATATTCAAGGGTTAGAACCTACATTGGGGTACCAAGTTAGAAGAAGTAGTCCAACGAATTTAAATGACGCAATTAATATAGCAAGAAGAGAAGAAGAAGCTAAAAATGAATTGATAATGAAAACAATGGGTATAAATATAGAACAAATAAGACAAGAAAAGAATATAGAAGAAATTTTAAAAGAAGAAACGAATAAAAAAAAAGAAAATGAAATATATAAAAAAATGCAAAAGCCAGTTAATGAAAAAGATATTGCCGATGAATTAAGTAAAGCGTTAGAACAATTTAGAGCAGAAAAAATAGCTATGGGAGAAATATGGAATGAAATAAAAAATCAACAAAGAAGAAATATAAATAGAAATACAAATACAAGAAATGCAAGAATTATGAGATGCTATGAATGCAATAAAGTAGGTCATATAAGACCAGAATGTCCACAATTAAGACAGAGAAATAATTATAGAACGCAAAATAATTTTAATAGGAATAATAATGAAAGAAGAAATAATAATGATAATAGAAATATAAATTTAATGGATCATGAAAAATATTACGATAATAATAGAAATTATGATAATAGTAATTATTATAATAAGTACGAAATATATAATTATGAAAAAGAAGTATTTCCAACTTTAAGAAGTGGTAGAAAATATGGAAGAGATTTAGATAATGACTATAATGAAATGGAAATTGAAGATGTTCCAATACCACCAAAAAGAAAATATGATATGAAAATGGATATTGATGGTAAAAGAAAAGGAGGATTTTTTAATAAAGAAGATAGAGATAAAGCATACCAATCAAGAAGAAGACATAACCAATGTGAAAGATGTGGATTAAGAGGTCATTTTATAAAAGAATGTCCAAATCCAGGAATGAAAAGAGGAAATAAAAATATTAGAGTATGAGTTAATGTACCACCAGAAAAATATGTAATGGATATGTTTAATGAAAAAGCGAATATAACATATGGACAAATTTATAATGAAAATCCAAAATTTAGAAGAATAGCTAGAAATTATGATGAAGATGATAATGCATGACTACACTCGGACCAACAAATAAAAAGTGCAGATAATAAAAGTGAAACTATAGCTATGAGAAGTAAAGTTATAATAAAAGTAAAATTAGTATCAATAATAATAGATTCAGGAGCATCAGTCAGTTTAATATCAGATAAATTAAGAAAAGAATTATTGTCATTATTTAATCATGATCATAACATTTATTTATGTATATAATTATATAATAGAATTTTATATAATAAATAACATATCAGATATTATTATTACTTTAATAATTATGGCTGTGTTATTTATTATTTTCAGATTACAGCAAATATAAATAGTTTAGTGAAATGATTCTGTTTATGATTATTTTGATTACATCCTTCCTTTTTTTGTATATCACGTGATTATAAATTTTCCAATAATCTTTAAGTATTCTAATGACAAATGACTAAATGACAAAGGATGCAAATGACAGTTAAATGATACCCAATTATTTGGCATTTGTCATTTCGCAAATAACTCAAATGCCAAATGCCAAATGATTGGTTGTTATTTAACCAAATGACTTCTAATCCGAAAAATGGTTAAATGACCAGGTCATTTCTGAACACTGATACATTATCAAAATTTATATAAAAGCCTAAAAATCAATATTTTCAAATACAAAAATTAACTAAAACTTGGCCAAAAATAAGCTGAATTTTTAATAGTTAGAAAAATTTAAAGTAATTTGATAATATTGCATCAACCAGTGATCAGAATTTAATGTTTTATAGCTTGTTAAATTCATTTCATCAAGACGAACATTTTGATAGTAAGTTCATAACTGAAATATTTATACAAAATTGATTGAGAAATAATATTTTAAAAACCTTTATTTATTATATAAATTATAACAATTATATACAGTCAACTCTCTTTATAGTCACACATTTGGGACAGTCCATATTTGGTGATTATGAAGAGATGTGACTATATAAAAATTTCTTATATTTGTATGTCATAATTCCGGCCAAAAATTAACATAATTTTAGCCAGAATTATACTTAAAACTTTATTGTATCGTAACTTCGCCAATATTAATCGTAGAGAGATGATCTTACAGCCATTCGATTCGTCTTGATGAGACGGTTCTAATGGTATAAAATACGTCGAAATCCAATCACTAGATTAATTTCCGAAATTAAAAAAATATTAATGGTTTTT